TTTACTTAATCTAATATCTTTCAACATGCATCTTCTTCTCTTGTATTTACATACAAGTTCCCATAAAAGTTTGCATGCTAAAGAATCATGGAGTCCTTATGACGTAACAATACTAAGTTAATTTTTTAATCTACAACTAATTTGGTACTACATATCTTATTAAATATGAGACTATCTAATGTAAAAATCCTTTTTTAATATTAGTCACAGTTAAAGTAAACTTTAGTAAATGTGGACTTACTATAGGCAATGTATACATTTACGTAAAATTAATTATTATTATAGTATGTGTATACATTGGCTACACACACACGCAGTAAATGTATACGTTTATTGAATTAACACTGACTGTGATATATACTAAATTTTGAAGAAATGGTAAATACTTTTTACATAAATTTTAAAAAAGTTTATATAAAAGTCATTTTATATGTATTGTAATATTATAGGAAACTGTAATAAATTATAATTTTTATAGGCTATTTCGTTTAATAGAATCGGCGGACGTGACAGCCGAGAATTTATTGTAAACATTTTAAAAAGGATGATCACAAATGAAGTGGCAATGTAGTATAGCTGGGCTGGAAAGCTAAAAAAAATGGGATTCAAAGATTTGTTGCTCACAAAGTGTATTATACGTAAGTTTTGAGATAATAATTTTTAATACTTTGTATATTTAATATTTCATTAACACAATATTAAAAATATAAATATTAATTCATGTTTTAGGAGCTGGTGCGTATGACAGATGATACAGTAACGGAGAAAGAGATGATAAATTACATTTCCAAGTGGCTTGTGCAAGCCACTTTAAGACAGCAACGCTGCAGTCTTCATCAATAAAAAAAAACGTAAGTTCTGCGTATGCATGCGTACGTGCGTGTGTGCGTGCACGTGTGAAAATTCTAATTAACATCTTTTCTTAAATATTGAACAAGGAAATATTTATTTTCCATAATTTTCTTAACGTTCAATTTTATTATTGAGTTGTATCATACACGTTATATATATAAAATAAATCGATAAATCCGTGAAAGAGAGAGTAGAGGCAAAATCTATCATAAATGTGCATTTTGTTCAAGATCAAAAATTATTTTCGATTTTTATGTACACTTAAAGTTTAGAGGAGGTTATTTGGACTACGATACAAGATAAAATTTTGCAGTTGTTTGAAAATCATGTACTTTCACAAAAAATTGAACATTGAATCGGGAAATGATAAAATTAAAGCGACTAGAGAGTAAAGTAAAATAAAAAAATGCATTTTTATTTAAAAAAAATCACAATTCTTAAATTTTTTGTTAAAAAGTATTATTACATCTTTTTCATTAACGTTCATAAAAAAATCATAAAAAGTCGAAAAAAGTGAGAAATTTTAACGATTTTCTACTAAAAATGCATTTTTTTTACTATTTTGCTGTATCCCAATCGCTTAAACAAGTAATCGTGCTATTTTGTTTCTTTTATCAGATAATTATTTTCATTTTTAGTGAACATCAGAAGACAACAGATGGTCTTGATGCAACAGATAAGAATATCAATTAACATTTTAATAAATATATAAGTGCAACTTATAGAGAGAGAAGAGAGAAAAAGAACATCCCAAACAATTTTAATTATTTTCGTGGTTATATATTTTTAAATATATTTTATATTGATTTAATTATTATATTATATAGAGATTTAATACAAAGTTATATAAAGATAGAAAAAAATATATATAATATAAGCTTTAAAGACTTCTCATACTTTTTTATTTTTTTGAAACAAGTAGACTTTTTTTTAAAGATAATGCGTGGGGTGTATAATTGTGATTTAATAATAATATATATTATACAATAAATCTATAATTGTGACTTATTTAGCTATTGTGATTATAGCTGTAATAACATAAGAATAAAAATATTGCGATTTAATAAAATATTTGCTGTTTTATTAACAATATTTATTTCCACGCGCATACAGGGCTGGGCAAAATACATCATTAAAGTATTTAAAATACAAAATGCAAAATAGGTACTATTAATCTTAATTAGTATTTTAATTATAAAGCACAAATATTACTTTTAGTCTTTCGATTTGAAAGTAATTTTGATATGAATAAATAATTTGTATTTTAAACCGAAAATATTTGGTATTTGATGAAATTGATCAAATACTAATTAACATTAACAGTATTTTGTATTTTAAATACTTTAATAATGTATTTTGCCCAGCCTTGCCCGTATATATACATTTTTTTATAGATTTCTGCAACGTTGCAAATGAAACTAAAGACATTGCATCAATATCACCGAAAAATTGTATAAAC